GCTTTTCGTACGTATCTTCGTGAATACAACTATAAGCAATGTATTTAAGGTTGAATTTACATAAATGTATATTTATTTCAACTAGAGTTACGTCAAAACAATTGGCGACAGTTTTTAGAGAACTTTTGTATGGGATTGTGCATCTAGTTCTTTATTAGTGATCGATGCCTAAAATATATAATTGTTCCCAGTCTGGATGTTTGTCCTCGTGCAATTTATGTATGTAAATTTCCTCCACGATACAGGAAAAATCCTAGTTTGGTCCTGATTACAATTATTTAAAAAAAATCAATTGCTATTTTTTAATTGGACTTGATTCGAAATTTGATTTTAATTTTTTTTTTGTTTTTCGCTTATACTAGTCTGTATAAAATTCACACCAGAAATGAATGTCAATGAGGAGCGAAAAGTTTTCTAACTACAAACTAAAAGGAGATTAAATGTTTGGAGAAGTCCTCAGGAATGAGGTGTAAATTTAGTTTTTATTGGCAATGGTAATAACTGAAAGAAAGAAAGAAAAAAGAGAGAAAATCTTTATTTGAAATCACAAAGAAAGAAAAAACTCGAAATATTACAATAAAAAATATAATGTATTTTTGTGAAGTCAAATTAGGTCCCTATTTCAGCTAACTGCTGCTGTACTAAATGACAGCAGCGCTGATTTTGAAATAGAGCCCAATATTGACTTCACGGACGGTCATACATTACTTAAAGCTAAAAATTAAAAACAACCATTCTGAGAAGTGTGTGGGGAAGGAATCAGCATAAAAGAGGTATTATTTGGAACTAATAACACAATGTATAAGTGAAGTGTACACTTGCATATCACATATACAACAATACATACGTATATACATCATACACATTTAAATGTACATACATATACATTATAAAGTGCTCAACAGCTCAACATCATATAGTATATTATCTAATCTTAATAAATTAAAAAATTTAATTTAATTGTTAAGACTTTACGATTTAACAACCATAAACAAAAAGAAACGAAACAGTGAGTAAACTGAAAAATTGAAGGGAATTAAAAAAACAGTAAGTTTATCTAGCAATTTTTCCAGCATTAATTAGAGGACCTTTATATTGTGCATGTAAAACAAAAAAAAAAATACGTGTGGCACTCGGTGACTGCCGCGGTAAAGCTATTGCATAGCATTTTTTATCAACTTGCAATTATAATTATTTATTTATTTTATTTATGCAGTTAAGTTTTTGATATTAAATCAAGTTACACTTTTTGAGAATGGTGACCGATAAGAAAACAATTTTTTTTTCTCTTATTGAATAAATGAGAAGTTAATATTGTTTAAAATATTTTTAATATCTTACAATACATGTAGGTTATTCAGGAATTTTTATCATTCAGTTAGCAGCTAGTGTACACGCATACGTCTAGTCGCACGCACACAAACACCGTGCCGGACTCTGCCGAGTGCCGAAGTCTGCCGAACTGAAACGACGTTCGACGATGCACGGCTTTCATCGCCACACCTCCGTGCCCGTCGGAGTGGGGAGCGTGAGGTTTTTTTTCGTTACGGAATTTTTGGATTCGGTCCCCGTGCTCAAGACCCGCGATAGAAGCTATGCAATAGCTTAATAAAGAGAAAAAAAAACTGATAGTAACAATTGATTATTTATCTATTAAGTTTAAGGTAGCGGTAGCTTGTATTTATAATAAGTAGAGTATTTCAAATCACACAGTTAAACGTTTTTTTTACCGTGTTATAGAATAACTTTTTACCTAAAATTATATCGAAGTATTAATATCCTTATAAAAAGAATTTAATGATTTATTACTAAAACACATATGTATATTGATATAAATTGCAATAGAATAAACCCTTAAGGTTTGTTACTTCTGAAGATTTACACTGACTTCCTTTATACTCTGTCTCAATTACATTTAAGAAGTTTGAAAGTGGAAAACCCTACGTAATGTGTAAAGGGGTACATTTTACGATCTCTCGAAACTTTGCATAATAGATATTAAATTTCCTTCTATCCTTAAACTAATCTAGCGTAAGGAAGTATCGGTTTATTTTGTTTATGATCTATGGGTGTGAAACTCAAACACAAGTTGAAGTGGTTTATTACACACTTATATTTATACACACGCAGAATTAAATACCTAATTTTAGAATATTAGAATAATATTAGAGAAAGCTTTATTTTATAGAAGTAATGGTGGTAACCTAGTACTTAGTCTACCTAAATATTCCTGGGTAGTCCCGAACTCATTGAAGACAGCTTTGATGCACCCGATCCTGATCTGATGGGAAGCAATTTAGACGGAAAACTCCAATAATTGGTTTTTGAACGACCAAAGATTTTTACATTATAACATATGTATGTGGTAATGCGTATATTTACATATGTGTAGGTGTGGCTATGTCTACCACCAAAGTTTGCAGTGAGAATAAACAGTATGAAATATTATACAGAATGTTATTTTAAACACCGTTATCTTTGAAACCAGTGGTTTGGTTTCACTTATAGAACGTAAATTCAATGAAAAATAACAACATTTTCTTTTAGTAAAATCTCAATTATTCCTTAATTCTCAATTTTGCCTGTTCTAAGCCAGGATGAAAGTATGAAGGAAAAGTTACATCACAGGTTATGTGTACTTATTGTGTTTTTATTGGAATGTAGTAGCTAACGCGGGCGATGATCTTTACAGTGATTACGTCACTCGGGTGCATAGGGTATCCATGAATTCACGGATGGTGTTGGACAGAAACTTTAAATTTTATGAAATAAAATAGCGTTTTTTTTTTTAAATTCCTTGAAGATACGTTCTATAAGTAAAACCAAACTACTGGTTTCAAGGATAACGGTGTTTACACTAACAACCTGTATATTTACTCTACTTGTCACACAAGTTCATAGACATATTTTTCTCCCATTGGCATAGCTTTTTAGAGCAAAGAAAAGGTTGACTGGGAGAGAATACCAAAAGGCATTAAGTCCACCCTTTGTAATCCTTTTTATTAAGGTGCAATAAAGTGTAAATAAATAAATTAGGCTTAAAAACGTTTGAAGGTTTTATGTTGTTCAAAAAGAAATCAATCAATTCTTGCCGTGTGAGTTATAATGCAATGCATTCGACTCATAACATCTTTGTAGTCGTATCCTATCTACAGTATTACAAAGATACTTTCAAAGTGATAATAAAAAGGATTTATGACGTTTTTTTTTTTCAAAAGGTTTAAATACTTTGTAGAATATAATTTTATTTATTAGTATAAGGATTGATCGATTTTTTATAAATATATGATATTTTTATTTCTGTCTCGAATTTTACAATTTAAATCAATAACATACAATTTTACTTTAACCTTCAAACCTACAACTAGTTGTAAATTCGTAAAAAAACAATGTTCTTTACATTTTTTACTAAATTATATGGTTAAAACTAAACTAAGTAATAGCCCTCCTAAAGGTAATTTATTAGGCTATTCAGCCTTTGACTACCTGAAACCAAAGTAAAATAAAATATTCATAAAAAGGCATTGTCATCCTAATGCCTTTGTCACACGTACCGAGCAAACGGGCGAGACAGTGATGTAAGCGAGTAGCTGTTCACACAAATGTTTTGAAATAAGCACAGTCAGTTCAGTTCCATTTAGACCACAATTCGGACACGATGGATCGTAAAAATATTATTAGAAAATATAATCCCATCAAAAACATAAATGTTAAATGAGAGCCAAGTTCAATATTATGATATATGCCTTGGTTGTTTACTTCAACGACAAAAGAAGTAAGATCTAAATGGGTGCCAAGTTCAATGGTCAGCCCTGAAATTTATTTATAACAACATAAAATATCGCTTCTTATAACTTAGGATAATATATTGTAGCCTAAGGTCTGACTTGGCTACTTCTCATATACGAATTATCATGTTCGATGGCTAGTTTTTACCAGTAAGCCAAATTTTCGCAATAATAAAATAAGAACCGACAAGTAACAGGTTTAGAACTTGCCAATGCTATAATATATAAAAATTTGACACGTGTATGTGAAATAGTTTTTGAGTTATGAGGGGGTCAAAAGTGGCTCCAAATGATTCGTGTAATATTACACACGGTGCGGCCCTTCTCTTCCTTGAACTTGGCTTGACACACTACCGCGTGTCTAGAAAAGTTACTCATTTCACTATTAGTAGAAGATGAGTGTATGGAAAAGAACACGGATGTTGAGAAAATCTGATTTTAGTGCTGCAAACACTGTTTTTAATGAATTAGATGTAGAAGATCCTCCTAAATTCAGAATGCTTCTGAGATTGAATGTACAACATTTTGACACATTGTTAGAAAAAATTACCCCATTGATACAAAGGGAAGATACATTCATGAAAGAAGCTATATCTGCAAAAACTGAACTACAATTAGTGTTATGGTATTTGGTAACCGGGACGAGCTATCGTAATTTGCAGGCTTTTTAAAAACTCTGTATTTCAGGTTGCAATATTATCACTCATACTGGAAGTCGTGGATGCAATATTTAGTTATTTGGAAAATTACTTAATTACTAATTAATAAATACTAAATACTATAAATAAAACTTTAGTGAAATGTATACCTTTTTATTAATTTCAAACAGTGAGGTAGAAAAAAGACAAAATTAAAAATTGAATTTGTTGTTTTCCATCTATCTCCAAAGCTGCAAACAACGCAACTGCTACAATGTCAATAGTGCTCACAGAATTTGGCGTAGCGTTGACATTATGTATTAGAGAAGGTATTTCAGCTTTTTTTTATGGTTATTTTGTATAGATCGGACCATAAACAATAATTAAAAAAGCTGAAGGTACTCCGGGTTTAACAATGACATCGGGACGTCAGTCATCTCAGTCCACCGTGACCATGGGTGCTGGAAAGCACCCGAAACGTCGGGAATTAAAAATAAAAGTAATTAAAAGAAAATAAACGCGATACAATCCATAAAAGTAGTTTTAATCAATTTCATTAACAGTTTCATTCTCTTTATTTATTTTCAGATATAGCTATATAGAAATCTCTCATCCTCTTTTTATCTCTCGTAGTATTTTCAGTGTTGCTAGTATTTGCTCTGGTAGTAGTCGTAGTTATAATAACTGGTACTTGCTGGTTGTACGATGTATTAGCTGGTACTTCGTGGTTGTTGTTTGAGAGCGAGGAGGTAGCAGAGCTACTGTACTGAGAACCAGTGTCTTCATTAGTGGGACGACAGTTCTGTGCAATAAAATGAAAAAAAGTTATTGTTTCAGGTATTGCAGAGCAATGAAGAATGTAAAGAAATAGAAGCAGGCTTTAGAACTAGGTGGAATTTCCCTGGTTACGTTAGCTAATTCAGTTTCACATCTTATAATACCTTCAATAGAGGTCCAATAATCAGCTCGCACGTTTCGGATGTAGAAATACTAGTGACAATAGCTAGATACAAAGGTGTGAGGCTTCGATACCGCGATCTGGACACTAGTGCAGAAGTGAATATTCGTCAATGGTATGCAAAGGGTTGAGAGGGAGGTAGATGCGTATAATTCGCATTGCATTTAATTCTCTCTCTTTACAACAATGTTCTTTAAGAATCAATTCAATTGGCAATATAATATTGCTTCCAACTTTTTGTATTCGTAAGTCTTGTCACGAAATAATTTCCTTTGTTTATAATTTCTCTTGGGAAATCCTAAAGCTAGGACATTTTTGTTATAATTTCATTTATTATTTATTATTCACCTTTTTACATATTGTATTTGATTATTTTGGACTGTTTGCAATCATACGTGGTATATCGTACTTTATATGTGGTGGAGCCATGCTGCAGTTATATTAGTATTATGGTTGTAGCACGAATGGGTCGGCTCGACCGGGGAAGGACCACGCTCTCACAAAATACCAGCGTAAAATAGTAGTAGCTTAATGCTGCTGTGTTTCGTATCGTTAGTGTAGAGAACCCCTTTTTCTGGAAACGAGGCATTCCATCTTAAAACTCATGGGTGACAACTTATCTGCATTTTGATTCGTAATCGAGGATAGATGTAGATATCTATGGGCCACAACAACCACTTACCACCATATAAACTGTGTGCTCGTTTGTCACCCTATAAAAATTATGTGTAATAATTTTAAACTTTATTATTTAAGTTTACTGCTTATGAAACATGAAAAAAAAAAACAGATAGTAAAATCAAGCTTTAACAAAAAGTGAAACCGTTATGGTTTTCCTTTGCGCAACATGCTCGCGCATCTCATAGTGTGAAATAAATAATGTAATATAAGTCACATACATATTTTATGTAATATATTTTAAAACAATAGATTTTAGGAGTAACCTCCAGTCATACGTCGGAGCTACATGCACAACAGTTTTTAAAATTTTTGTCGTGTTAATTGGACGGCTTTTCTGCCTAGGAATCTGCGTGTACACTGATGTGTTGTAGTCAGAAGGGTATAGAGAGCCATTATAATTATTGAAGGATGTGAGGCTATATATCTTAGTCTTTAAAGGTGTGTAGATTTCTTTGTCTGAAGTTGCAGGTGACCATGAACTGTAGTAGCTACTTACCATCAGGGACTGCAAGTTTGTCGTCTACGTCCACGTCTACGTCCGGATTCTGTTCACCTTCCCACACCTAAGTAATCCTCAATGTTGTTTTAACATATAAACTTTGTTGTTCCCGTTAAGTACATTATCAGAATCAGTATTTAAAAGGATAAAAATAATTACTTTATTCAGAAAAATCAACCATTAAAATTTTAATTTGATTAAAATGGAATTTTATTTGCAAATTGAATGTGGTGGCCAACAGTGCTTTTGTTTTTGACATAAGTAACTAACTTAAAAGAAAAAAAAGCAGGACTATTACATTTTAATCAATGTCTTTTTATTTCCTTCGCCTTGTTCTCAGATAAGATCCATGCTCGTTTGCCCCTCTTCAATAAAAGAAAAAAATATATACCAGTGCTTAACTAAAATCTCACCTGGTGATAAATGTTGATGAAGCTCTGGATGGTAAATCACATTGTCTAAGCGTAATAAAAGCCAATTCATTCTTGCCTTGAAGACATCCATATTGTAATCGGACGGATAAATAAACGCCGGCAGAAAATTCTACTCCTTTGATATACGCATTAAAAAAAGCCAAGGGGCTTGACGTGGGCCTTCCCCATTGTAAAAATAATGCAAAAATCTACGTACAAGTTTCTCTATAATAGGAAAAATAATCTTGTTTCATGTTATTGACCTTGAATTTAATACATACGCTGTCTGATCCTCTATGGTGTGACATCAGAGACACGTGCGACATCTCACTCACAATATGATTAATACAAATGAGACCACTGACCCAATATCGTTTCAATTTCAATTAACTTCTTGTACTGATCCTGTATAGTAAAAATAATATGGAGATCATTTCAAGGAAAATAAAAGAAAACACGTATATTTTTGTTAAATAGTGGTGTAACGACAACGAAACTTGGCATTATTCACTAAAAATGCCGAACTCAAGTCTTACAGACTGGATAAGGAGAAGCATTTTACCACTAGGGTATAGCTAGTGCGGTCAACGACCCGCTTAACTAGCTTATATTATATTTTTCTTCTTGTAAACTAGTTGTAAGTTGTTTAAGATACTTAACATAAGGTATATATTTGAGTGGTCATTTAGTAGTTTGTCAGGAGCTAGTATATTTACATAATATACTTATGTGTGAAAATATGATGATATGTGCTACGATATGATACGATCGAATGTGGGAACGGATCGTAAAAGGTGGATAAGAGAGGGTAAATAAACAAGTGATAGGGAAGGATGAGAGTCAGAATAGGACGTCAGAGAAAGTAGAGAACTGCTAAGAAAACATAGGTTGTTCTGTGCTAGGTGAAGAAGTGAAAAAATAAAAGTAGCTTTTGAAAGTTATATTTCGATTTATATGTCCTACCTACGCTAGTAATATTATATAAGTCAAAGGTCGGCCGTCATATAAATTACGCCACGGCCGTCATATAAATTACAAACAAACATGATTCACTTTTAAAGTTTAATGAGAGATATAATTTGGTATTTTCTCCTTCCTTGCTCCTTTCTATTCGTCGTGTTTTATTTATTTATTTTTCTTTGTTAACATCATTTCATTCAGCAGAAATATTTTTGGCCAAATAACTGCCATTTTTACTTATTGGCGGAGTAAACGTATGGAATAAATTAACATACTCACATACACCATTACTATTCATTTATTTGTTATGTACAAATAAAGCATCTATGAAGTACAGTCTCCTGAACGTTTCTTCGGAACTTGAGACACTAAATATTAATAATTTAATGTTCAATGTGAAATTCCAGGAAAACGGAAGTATTATGGAATCACCTCGATGTCAAACTGTCAGTCTGTCTGTCTGCCCATTTTTTTCTGAGGGTATTCTGCTTATGCTTTTCCTTCGGGGTATATCTGTCCGTAACAGAGGCTTTTCCCTAAAAGCGTTCCATTAATAAATACAAAAACGTTTTACATACGAACGTTTAAATTCTGACGTGAAGTAAAATTTGAATTTCCAACTTTCGGGATAAAAGAATATTATTAGGGATTATTGTATGGAATATCAATTAAAATCTTTTATTTCCTTTATCCTTTGAAACAACATCGCGTGAAGGTAATACAAATAATAAATAATCAGAGTTAAGTTGTTATATTTTTTTTTTCAAAATATGAAAACATAGTCTGGGGAAAAATCACGCTCTTACTGAATACCCGTGTAAAATAGCAGCATTATAAAGCTGTGTCTCGTATGATGAGTGTAGAGACATAGAGACCTTTTTCACTGGTAACGACGCATTTCATCTTAGTCCTCAGGGGCGTATGTACATTTTGATTCTTAATAAAGAATAGATTAAGGTTTCTGTGGGCCACAGCATCCACTTACCAACAGGTGGAATGTGTGCTCGTTTATCATTTCTATAAAAATGATGCTGGTTACTCTCGTACTGTGAGCAGAAATTAGAAGAAATTTACTGCAAGTACGTAATATTTCCGGTCAAATTCGTTTTTACAAAAACAGAAGTGTCCCGTGAAATCCACTTGAGTTATAGTTTACACTAGCATATTAAAATATTAAAGATGAACTGTGCAGCTAGTCAATTTCCTCAAACTTAATTGAACAAATAAGTTGACCATTTATTTCATGTGTCTTATAGTCCCTTATAATAAGGCTACTACCATAAAATACTACAATACATACATAATAGAATGGGGGAGTGGGCGGAGCCCATGTAGTCACTAAAATGTCACTAACATGTCAATTCACACGTATAAATTTGCATATGCCAAATTGCACACTATTTACAAATCAATATGTATTGAAATTTAAAAGTTTTTAATGATGATCTTGAACATTAATCAAAAGTTTAAAATGTTTAAATTTACCGTCTGTCAACACAGCGAATCGGGTTTGTAGTAGTAATAATACGACGTAATTGCTTGTATGTGTGCTCCCGGCGACGCCGACCTTCGTACAAAATAAGGTTGACAGACATTTTATTGTGTATTATAGTATTTTATGGCTACTACAGTCAAAAGTATGCCATAGTAAGAATCAAATAGTAAAAACCTTCGAATATATGCTTTATCACTCGCAAGCCGCTCTCAAAATAAGATTAATGGACCGATATCCGCCACAGGATGTCTGCAGATAGGCAGTAAAAGTCGACACCCGAACAATTTGGATATTCGGTATTATTCGATAAAAATGTTTGTGTTTCATAATTTACTTGTCTAAATTTTTTTTAAATTAATACAATAAATAAATATTTAAATTGTGTGTGAAATGATCATTTCCTTACCAATTTTAGGGTTCCATAGGTAAACAACAAAGAATTATTATAGTTTCGCCATGTCCGTCCGTCCGTCCATCTGTCTGCGGTTTTACTCAGAGACCCCAAGTGGTACAAATCGTTCTCACATAACTGTGAAATAAAATCTTCACATAAATTATATCATGTAAATGCTGATTTGCCATGTACTAGCGTAGAAGGAAAAATATCGTAAAAAAATACGTGTGGCACTCGGGGACTGCCGCGGTAAAGCTATTGCATAATATTTTTGTCAAATTATGCAATTATAATTATTTATTTATTTAGTATTTTTTTATTTGTTTTTTTCTTTGATATTAATTCAAGTTACAGCAGCTATTCTACACGAATACGTCTAGTTGCACGCACACAAACACGGAGCCGAAGTCTGCCGAACTGAAGCGACGTTATGGCGCCTCTACACGTTGGCCAACACAGTGGCGAATATAGTGGCCAATAGCATTGGCCAACGTGTAGACGGGGTGTTTGGGCTTCATTTGTATGTATTGGAACGATGGCCCACAAGTTGGCGCGAGATCCATGTGGTGTCGGTTTTTTACAAAAGATCAAAGGATTGTTGGCAGAGTTTGGTCGCCGCGTCCACACGTTGGCCGCGCGTTTAGTTTGCTACAAGCTCCCAGAGTGATTACACGCATCTGATTAAAATTTTATATTCACGCTTTGTAGGGTGGATGGCCCAATTACCAGCCTTTTAGTGCCAATTTCAACTTTAAACATTCCTACTACTTAATTAGCACGATTCAATTATTTTTAAACATTTGTTTTAATCGATAAGCTATTTATAAAAAAAATAATGAACATTTATTTACAATCAGATTATTACGAGAACAATTTTAAAATGAAAAAAAAATGAAGCACGTCGTTTATACGTGGTAGAACCATGCAGTTATATTAGAAGTATAGTTGTAGCACGAATGGGTCGGTTCGACCGGGGAAGGACCAAGCTCTGACAGAATATCAATGTAAAATAGTAGTATCAGTGTAAAATAGTAACTCATTTTTTATGAACCCAACGACTCCTTTCGAAATTAATAATATAATTAATTCATTAAAGAATACAAATAGCACAGGTTATGATGACGTTAGCACAAAGGTATTAAAAAGTGTATCAACCATCATCTCACCAGTTTTATCCTACATCGTAAATTTAAGTATAGCCTCTGGAATATTCCCAAATAAATTAAAAAAAAAAACGGTAGTTCAACCTGTATTTAAGAAAATTGATAAGAGTGATGTTGCAAATTATAGACCCATAGCACTCATACCGATATTCTCTAAAATTTTTGAAAAGGTAATAAGTCAAAACCTTAATGATTTCTTCGAAAAATATAAAATCTTCACAGAGAAACAGGTCGGATTTCGGAAAAATAAAAGTATAAATTTAGCTGTCTTTCAATTTTCTACGTACTGTAATGTCAAGCCTTAATAATAATCACTTAGTATCTGCTCTATACATGGATTTAACTAAAGCTTTTGACTATGTTAATCACAGTATCCTCTTAAGTAAATTAGAAGCGTACGGGATCCGAGGAAATATCCTTAATCTCCTGAAAACTTACCTAATAAATCGGAAACAATGTACACAAATTACGCGCATATGCTCAAAAACGTATAGACAAATAGTACATTCATCGTCATATCGTGAAGTGACTCAAGGAGTACCCCAGGGAAGTATTCTTGGTCCATTATTATTCCTTGTTTATATAAACGATTTACCAAATTATATAAATCAAGATATGGTATTATATGCAGACGACAGTACAGTGATGTTTACAAGCACAAGCAAAAATAAAATGATATCTGACATAAATCAAACACTAGACATTATAATTCAATGGTTGTCAAATAATAATTTATTAATTAATCTAAATAAAACAAATTTAATGACATTCAGAAATATAAAAAATAATTTAATTAATCTTAATATATGCTACAAAGGACAAAAAATTAATGTAGTCGAAAATGCAAAATTTTTAGGCCTCAATCTCGATTCAAACTTAAAATAGAAATCTCAAGCAGAAGATATTTGTACTAAACTAAACCAGTTCTCTTATGCACTGCATAGACTTGGAACAATTGTGAATCAATCTGCGGTCATCACTGCGTACCACGGTTATGTAGAATCAATGTTAAGGTATGGTGTCATTTTTTGGGGTAACTCTGTAGACAATGATATGATATTTAGAGCCCAAAAGAGATGTGTAAGGGCTATTGTGAAGTTAAAAAAGACGGATAGTTGTAAACCATTTTTTATTAGTCTGAAACTGTTAACACTTCCATGTCTTTATATATATGAGGTAGCCGTCTTTGTTATTACGCATATTTCTTTATTTGAGTGCCTACACAGTAAATGTAATAATCATAAAATAGGTTATCCATCAAACAAAACTGCCCAATTTAACAACAGCATATTTTGTATGGCCCCTCGAATTTATAACCATTTACCATTACACATTTTGAGATGTTCCAACATAGATAATTTTAAAATACTATTGCAGCAATTTCTCGTTAATAGGGCATACTACAGTGTGAAAGAATATCTCGAAGATAAATATGAAATTCAATAATTGACTAATACATGACAATATAACTAAATTGACTTGACTTATATAATATTATCTACATTGACATATCGCTATTAATTTCCATACCACCTGTTGTATTCGATGGGGTTGTGATCCCTTACTTTGACAATGTCAAAAATCTTGGTGTTTACCTTGATAGTTCCTTAAATTGGAAACGCCAACTGAATGAGGTAAGTAAGAAAACCTTTGTCGCTCTTAGTTCACTGCGTCGCCTTCGATCATTTCTTCCCATTCCTACAAAAATTATGCTCGCACAGTCTCTTCTCCTTCCGATTTTCGACTATGCCGACGCAAGCTATGTAGACATAACTAAAGACCAGCTAACTAAGCTTGAGAGACTTCAAAATACTAGTATTCGGTTCATATTTGGATTGCGCAAATTTGACCACATTTCCCAATTTCGCTCACGTCTCAAGTGGTTACCTATCCAATTTCGCCGGAACATGCATATTCTTTCTATTCTGTACTGTGTCTTATTTCACCCTTCTACTCCTCCTTATCTTAAGGAGAAATTTAGTTTTGTTGGGCTTCCAGGGGAACCTTTACGCTCTTCAAGAAAACTCATTCTAAGGGTACCAACTCACAATACATCTTTCTTTAATAAATCTTTTACTGTACAGTCTATTAAGCTCTGGAATGCCCTACCTTTGTATTTACGCAAAGCTCAGACTATTGTAGTCTTTAAGCGACTTCTTAAAGAGCATTACTTGTCTCAATCGTTCGAAAATCATTAGGATAAATTATGTGATTATGGAGTTTTGTATTTATTTGTTTATGTTATTGTTAGTGGTATATATTTGAGGATATATGTATGTATATATGTGTATGTGTGTATATGTATGTATGTATATGTATGTATATGTATATATATGTATATATATGTGTGTGTGTATGTTTATGTATATACCTATGTATATGTGTATCATATTTTTTTAATGTATTAGTTATTTACTTATATGTTATTTTATTGCATGTATTGATATTATATTAGGTATATTTATATTGCACCACCTACCTAGTACTCACTGTTTTATTCCTTTACACCTTTGGTTGCCTGGAAGAGATCGCTATGTAGCGATAAGGCCGCCAAATTGTACATGTAATCTGCTCTCTGTTATGTTCTTTGTAAATTTGTTTGTTGTGTGCAATAAAGTATATTCATTCATTCATTCATTCATTCATTCATTAATTTTGATTTTGAACTCCAATTATAAATAAAGCATGTTTAAATAATTTAATATAAAACTAATAAAATGTAATGAATATTGCATGCCAAATGGCGGAATATAGCTGTACTGTTTGTTCTCTAAGTGATAAACTATGACAATACCATCTGTATCAACCTATATTCGCAATAAATGATTTGAATTTGAATTTGAATTAGTAGCTTAATGATTGTGTGTTTCGTATAGTGAGTGTAGAGAACCAGAGACACTTTTTAAATGAAACGAGGCATTTCATCTTAGTCCTCATGGGTGACAACGCATCTGCATTTTGATTCGTAATCGAGGATAGATGTAGATATCTGTGGGCCACAGCAACCACTTACCATCAGGTGAACTGTGTGCTCGTTTGTCACCCTATCCTATATAAAAAAGCGTCGATTTCTTATAATTTAATCGTTCAAGTTTTCGAATCATCATCATCGTTACAGCTCTTCACAAGTCCACTACTGAACATCTTCCTCCAAAGAAAGCCGCAAAGCATGGTCCTGAGCCACTTTCCTTTTCATGAGTTTTTCATTTATGTTCTAAGTTATAATTAGTACCGTTAAGTCAGTGTTAATTATATTTATTGCTATTGTTTTCAAAAAATAATTAAATTACCAATAAATTATAAGGTGTTTTTTATATACATCAAATGTCTGATAGAAAAGCAAGTACATGTTTTGCTAAACTTTAAAAACAAAACCCAATTTTAAAACATAGACTTATCGATTTTAACTCCTTTAACTTTAAAATAAGTTTAGTTCTAATTAATGGTATTTATTCCAGTTTCTGATGCATGTAAAGAATAAATAAAGCTAATCGTATATCTATTTACAGCCCATTAATATTCACTATTCTTTTATAATTATTTTATAAAAACGTTACCCCCTTACACCTACACTTGGATTTTCTCCTGTATCGCGGAGGCAACTTACAAACATAAATTGCATAAGGACACACATCCAGACCCGAAACAATTATTTGTAGGATATACAAATACTTGTTCCGTGCGGGATTCAAACCCGCGACTCCTGGCACAGTCACTCATTGCCAAGCCACTGCGCCATGGAGCCGTCGTCTAAAATAACATTTTTTTTATTTTGCGCCCGAAGCAAATATGGGCAACCCTCCGGAAAGCGGGGGAGGGAGGTTGGGAATGCTCATAGCATACCACGCAGAC